ACAGGGGACGGTGTCTGCTTTCACCGTGTTGACAATTGCGCCCTTGTGGGACCTCCAGCATGAATGGTACAGTGGACACCTCAGCGCTACTGACGTTATAAACATGTAAATGAAACACATTACCACTGACAATCAACTGTCTGTGAGCACAGCAGTTCCTCGTCCCAGTGCCCCCCCACACACACCCCCACTCTGCCACAGCCACAAAATACTACCCACCTTGGGGAGTGAAATTGCAGTGGGGGGGGGGGGAAGGTGACGGGGTGGGAAGAGGGAGGTTTTTTTCTCAGCTGGGGAACAAATTCACCTTAAAAGCAAATGAATAATAGAGATGGACAAAATGTTTAGACTGGAAGGAATCTGCCATTGTTAGGACTGAAAAGCAGAGCCGTGGCTGAAGAATCAGACGGTCAGCCCCCCCATACCTCCGGCGTGAATGCACATGGCTCCCATAATCTCATTCAAAGCATTGTGCTAAACTTCGGGAGCCACACAGAGAAGCTGCATTTCTTTCAGCCCTAAATGATAATCGATATATATTCTAACAGGGGAACAGCAACTATTACACGCGCTGCAAATTAAAAAGGGTTAAAAAAAAAAAATCTAAAACAAAAATGACAAACAAACAAACAAACAAGCAAGCATGCACGCGGCGCTGCTGCCCAAACTGCAGTCACGTTCGACGAGGCGCTGTTTACATTTCACAGACTGCCGGATCCCAAAAGACAAACAGAAGCAGAACTCCTCGCAGACTCGGCCGGGCTTAGCGAGGATTATGAAATCAGCACACGCGGCGCAGCCTGTGCCACGCAGGGCCGATCGATAGACCATGCGGACAGACCCAAAATACACCCCAGGCCACTGCTCACTTCTGCTACAGGGGGTGGGGGGGATTTTTATTAACAATCTGAAAGGAAGGAAAGAAATAGTCATACTACTACTCTGGGGGCATGGGGGGGAAGTAAATAAGAGGGATGTGATCAGAGCCTGGCTGGTTAATGGACTGAGGGCCAGAATGCTTCTAAAGAGCCTGAACAGCTGTACTTACATGAAGCCAAACAAGCCCTCACAGCTGGATGCAGCTCGCCACACCTGGAGGGGGAAAAAAGTGCAACCAAACCGAGAGGCCCAATATCGAGTTTCAGAGCACTCAGTTTGAGATTTCACTTTGGGGGATGGGGAGCAGGGGGCCGAAGACAGATACATCCAACATTTCTGAAGATAATAGGAATTAAAATCGGCAGTGTGTAGGCAAGGGGACCTCCCCCAGAGCCTCGCGACGGGGCACAACACGGTAAAAATGTGGTGAGCGCTCAAGGCCCAATTCAGGAGACACATGGAAGCTGGCTGAGCAGCGCTTAAGCTATCGGGACAAATTTGCCCCCAAAATTCAAAAGGACGGTCCCAAGGCGGCAGCCAGTTGGGCAGCTGCTTTGAGAGCACAGTCGCCCGACCACCGTCCCAGTTTCAGAAATCAAACACGCGGAGGCTCCAAGCAGCCATGAGAAACCACCAGCGTCAAATAAAGCATCAGGCACATCAAATCTGTGGCAACCCTGTGGTTACAAGCCACATTATTCCCCAATCCCCACTTCCTGACTTACACCTTATTATTATTATTATTATTATTAAAAATTAAAAATAAAAATCAATATCCCGTGCACATACACATATATTTTTGAGTTTCAATTTCTTGCATTTCAGACGGAAAAACAGCAGAAAGGCCTTGTAGGCGCTTAATGAAATAGTGGAAAAGTAACAAAGTTAGGGGTCAGTTGACACTTACTCATCTCAAGTACCTCTGTGAAACCGAATGCCAATGTGGTTCATTTCAGAGCCTCCACAGGGCTGACATATCTCCGAAATCGCTTTCTAAAAAGTGCACGTAAAAATCCCCAGCATCGTTTACCCTTCCATATCCCAACGTCACTATTAATTGCTCTGGATTTTGCTGTAACAATGCACAACGCAATCTCCCCTGTGTTAAAAATAATCAACAGCTTGCTGCTCCATTGCCGCCTTTACGTTCAGTCATTGGGATTTTCTGTCTTTCTAAACCTTTTTATTCTTCTCCTTTTTTAAACGAATCGTTTTATATCACTGCGATAAGTATCGTAATATTTAACGTTATCGGGGAAGACACAAGCTGAGCCCTGACATCCTCTCCATGAATCCGGGCTGGGGGAGAAATCCACTCCGCTCTGATAAATCCATGCCATTCCCAAAGGAAAAGCTATCCCAGACAAGAGGAGAAAAAGAAGAGAAAAGAAATAGGTGAAAGGAAATAACTAACGCTAAATGCAAAAATCACACGCTTATGTTTTGTCATTCGTTTTAAGCCACCCAAGTAAAAAACTAAGAATTACTCAAATTAATGTAGCTGTTAACTGAGATCAATTTCGCCCTGGCTGTTTTTTTATGAAAAAAAAAATGGAATAAATCAATTCCAGGATTTTTCACGGAGTGACTTTTTAATTTTAAGTTTAAATCTTCCCTATAAATTACAGATTATCAGATGAACTGTTTCCTAAAACGATGTGTTTCTTAAAACCGAGCTGGATATTTCTGTTGATGAAGTGCAACAAAACACCGTGTGTATTATTATTATTATTATTGTTGTTGTTGTTGTTGTTGTTGTTGTTGTGGTTGTTGTATATAATTTTTCCTCCCCAAAGGATCGCCTTAAAAAGCCTTTATCACTCCGGGCTTTTGATATCCAGCGGATCATTAACGGGCTTCAGCTACTTTATGCGGCCCCTAAACTTACGGCACCAATTTTATGAAACCAGTGCAAAGCCCTTAACTATGAAAATAAGCAAATTAATAAAAGATGAAAATATCATTGCACCGTTCGTTATGATAAATAAATGGGAGAGAAAACATTGCAATGCAAATGAATAAGCCTTAATGGAATTGCAATATCCTAAAAGCAACGAAAAAATAATAAGGACAGACAAAACTAAATAAGTAGGCATAGTAAAAATTGCAGCTCCTGGGAGCTATAATAAAAGCAGCGAAAACGCGTTGCTCGGCCGTAAAATTTCGAGTCTGTATGGCTCTCACTGCGAACAGTACGGGGCAGACTACGCATTTGTGCAGCACAAAATGAAAGCAACAAACCGAGATCAGTCACTCCCCCGTACCATGCAATAACTCAGGAGAAAATGCAGAATAATAACGCCTTCGACAGCACAAAAACACATGAGTCGGGACAGCACGTATCACTGTACTGATGAAAAAAATGTCATCTGCTTTGGGCAAGTGTTTGTTTATCTGCAGATATGTGTTTGTCTCTGCTTGTGAAACTATACACAAATTCAGCACATTTTTTTCAGCCCTCCACGTAAATTGTGATATTAGTTACCAGTGAACTGGTCATTTCCGAGTTTAAGTGGGAAACTGATCTTTAAACACAGATCTCTATGGGTGAAAAAAGAAATGTATAAAGAACGAAAGAAGGGGCATCGATGTCATGTTTTACGCCTGATGTACACATAGGAATGAATGAAAGTATTTATGGAGCCCTTTTTAAAGTTAAAGATACCCAGTTTTGTTTTATTTAACTAAAAAACAGGTTAAACAAGCTCTCTATCAACTGTCACTTTAGTAAATCCACAGGTAATAATACCGAAATGCGAGGCGCACAAAGTACCATTTTCAGCCAGAAATAGGACGAGGGAGCAGGACCGTTATTTATTTATGGCGTAAACTTTGTATTGCTCCCCTTCCTTCCCACGCCGCCCTGTCAGCCTCTATTAAACTCGCCCGAACTTCTGATAACTACACTATATATAGATCTGAGGAGCAGCAAAATAAAACCACGGCCATTTCGCCAGCATTAAATGATAGGAGTCGGGATTATAACACTCCTTATTAATATAACATAGCCTTTCTTATAATGCAATATACTCCAAACTCGCCCCAACTTCTGATAACTACACTATATATAGATCTGGGGAGCAGCAAAACAAAACCACGACCATTTCGACAACATTAAATGATTATAACACTCCTTACAGCGTCTTTCTTATAATGCAATATATTCCAAACTCGCAATTAGACGGAAAAGACGAGGCGAGCAGCGACCCTTATCAGATGCAGCGTCCTCCGAGTTATTAAACATCAAAAAAGGAATATACAGTTTTTCTGGTATGATCTTTGTTTTTTTCTTACCGTTTTTCCTTCTGGGGTTGGCTTGTTTTCGCCTCTTACACCTGGGGCCATCCGCCATGATCTGCTGCTTCATTGATAAGCGTGGATCGGATGGCAGGCGGCTCGCATGGGCTCGGCTCCGTGGCTCGGCTCGGCTCGGCTCGGATCGGCTCCGTATGTATCTAGCAGGCAGACACAGCGACAATGTGGGCGCCGGGAGTGATCGTACGGTGTCCGGGGTGGCACTGTGTACTCCGCACCTCCAAACTTACAAAACCCCGTTTCAGTGTTAAACACCGCGGTCTGCCGGTTATGGGTGCCGGCGAGTGAAGCGCACAAGAAGGGAGCAGACGCACAAATGCACCTTCTGCCCGACTCTAATTCAACATGACTGCCCGGAGGATGTGCAGCGCTTCACGGCTTTTATTTTACATGCATCTGGCTGCCTTTATCGCTTTATGGCTGACCAAACTTCACGAACGCGTTTGATAATTAAAATATTAATTAAACTTGTTGACTGTTCCTGGTCACATCTCCAGCAGCTGAAATGCCTATACTGTGCAGTTTAAGGCACGATAACTTTGATATGCAGCCAACGACGCTTCGCTTTAAATAAAGCACTAAAATATGTCTCGCACAACAACAAAAAAAAGTTAAAGTTCAGCATTTTCGTATTCATCCCCAGTCATATGGAGTGTGCAGTTAGATGATACAGGCGACCCAGCCACTACTGAGATCAATACAAACACATGGTATTAAAAAGATGTAACAGATGTAAACTGTGAAACATTGACACCGAGTCGTTTTCCCTGACCAAATCCCCATGCAAACAACTTCATTTCGCCTTAAACGCATGTATTTACACGGAATACAACAGGGGAAAAGCCGCTGATATATCTGTTGTCTTTTTATACACTACTACGAATTAACAGCAGAAGTGAGTAAAAAATGTAATTGTTTCATATGATATAAACTGAGCTTGTAACACGAATCACTGCACAGAAAATAAGTGGGCACAACTCAGACACCGCTATAATACGAAACAAAAACTTAGTTGCTCTGTACTGTCGTATAAGTGAAGTTTTCATTGCGTAAAAATATGCAAATTCGTGAGTCAAAAATAACAGCAATATGACAAACAGTTTCGCTACATCAAACTTTAAAAGAGATGGCCGATTTGGCTTCGTTTTATAATATCATTTTATGCTCCACGACCAGAACGGACTGTGACAGGAAGCACAAGCAAATAAAGAGGTTTACAAACACTCAGCAAAAACACACAAATCACGAATTTATGGACATCGTGTCAAGCAGCTATGTGGAATCAGGAAATAAATATTATTTTCTCAAAAATAATTATAGTGATGGAGTATAACCTCTGCGATCTAACGGTCCGTCTACATGCCGGCCGCTATATTTACAAAAGTCGTTTTTATCTACTAAAATATTTTAACCAGGCGTGTGCCTTGTATATTAAATTACATGTGGGCAAAATACTTGACTTGAACTCAATGCTATATCGGGGGAAAGGGCAGGAAAGCGCTTTTCATCCTTTCTTCCAAACTAGATGTGTGGGAAATTGCCTTAAAAGAAGGGAAAACGAAGACATTCCCACGTAAGTGCGCAGGTTAGAAATTGTAATTTCAGTTCAGCGAAGCGCACCTTTCTTCACCTGCACAGGTGGACTGTACTTAAACGCGCAAAACTATATCCAAATAAAGATAAAGTGTCCACCCTCCCTAGCAGTGTTATATCGTCACATATTACGAAGACCAGGGAAACATTAAGAAAAAAATAAATAATATACACCTACCTGGTTGTTTATGTTGGATTGCGGTGTTTTTTAAGAGCAAGTTGGAGAAAAGCGGATCCTTGCGAGACGATGATAAGCCTTAGATGGAGGGAGGACCGTTATTCCTGCTGGGCAGGTTAGGACTGATCTCTTTCAGCCACTCCAGGAAACAAACCTGGGAAGGGACTGACGTGTTACGCCTCTTCTAATGACATTTTTTTCTTCTTTTTTCTTCTGTGTAATGCGGAGGAGAGACCCTGAAGCAGACGCCACCTATCTTCACGGGGAGGGATAATTGAGGAGCGCCAAACGTGCGCATCTTATGGAAAACGTGATCAAGTGGTTTTTTTTCCTGCTTCTTCTTCTGTCTTCTGGAGAGAGAAAATGAGCTCAGTCGGATTACCTTGCAGCCCGAGCAACAGAAATATCTGGAGAAAGTTGGGAATTGCCCGTAGACCACCACCACTCCCCACCACCAAAACCACCCCCCCACACTCAGCCTCCATAGTCACCACGACAAAAAGGGGGGTATCTAACGGAAAGCGGGCTGTAGCGACTAGCTGACCCTCACAGACCGAGGATGAGCAAACAGAGCGCCGAAATACCCCAGCGAGCGTCCGCAGCCTGCTCTGCCACGCTGCATCTGCAAATGCGTCTGTATATTTATTCCTTTCGTTAACTGCACGCCCTCGTTTGTTAGCAGGAAATATGCAATAAACGGAATTTTTACTCATTCTTTATATATGTGCGTTTTGGGGAGACTGCCGCAGCAGATATATGAAATTATGCACTTTTAAATAACTTTTAGCAATGTATTTTTAATTAATTAACCATCTAAAATGTTCATATAAATCATTCATTTGCACGAGTGGTCAGATAAATGTGGTCGGCTAATTATTGCGTTTTTAATAGGAGGACATGTTTGTTTTTGTTTTTATAATCAATATAATATTCTCTACGTTTAGATCCGAGGAACAATTACATTTCATTTTTGCTTTTTTTCTCATTTTGAAATGAAAATGCTGCGTATTTAATTAATTACAAAAATTAATTGATTTTGTTTAGGACTGCTGTTGGTATTTTCATTGATTTACTCCCTTTTTCACTTTAATTTATTTCAAGACAAAGCAAATTGGCTTTCTGTACACTCACATACGTAGACGGGAGCAAGAGGCTCCACCTTTGCGACGCAGCGATTGGTTATGTAAATAAAGTCTTTTTTTCCTCCACTATCTTTATGCAGTTATCTACTGTATAGATAATTAAATCATCAATCAAAGGGGCTGGGCTATTTGATGCTTTTGTTCAAAGCCAATCGGCTTTCAGGGAACTGCTGAGTACAGATGAGAGTAAAGATGTTCAACATCTGGAATTCAGAAATTTCCAAAGGCTGTAGATTATCGCGGGTCCCTGGGGAAACGGTCAATGAGTAATATTTAATACCCTTTATTATTATTATTATTATTATTATTATTATTATTATTATTATTATTATTATTGTTATTATTACATTGTTGTTGTTGTTAATAATATTATTGTTGTCCAACTTGGTATTTTTATTACGTTGTTGTTGTTGCATTTACTTGTACTTTTGTTGTGAATTTTGCTGCGATGCTCCTCTGTTTGCTGTTCTTCAAACCGTAAAACATTAAACGTCAAAAAGTGAAAGTGCTCCCGCTGCATTGTTTTGCCTGATTAAATCGGTCGTAATTGTTGTGCATATTTCTTATTTATTTTCAGACAACGGGCTGACTTTTGGACTGTCTTCCGTTGATTATTGTTCCTTCACGGTAAGAAATTGACCTTTAATTAATAATGTCTTTTTAAAATTGTTTTCTCTCTCTCTCTCTCTCCAAAGGTAACATCCATTTGTTCGCTGAGCTATCTGAGCGAGGTAATCAATAAGATTAAGTTTTTTTTTTCAAAATGTAACGCTGAAATGCAGTGAGTAGTATAAAGTCAATTGTACATTTATTTTTTTTCCTATTTATAACCTAAGGTAGCGGTAAAGATGAACATATTTGAGCTTATTGGCGAAGTGGTGAAATTCAGGCATGCATTAAGACGCACAGCAAAGTCACACACTCGGTTTGTTAATTCAACGCTGCCTCGTTTCAGAAAATGCTATATAGCGTGAAATGGGATTACATCTCATAGAGAAACTATAGTGAAGACCTTGGGGTTATTTTATCTGCTAATTTAACGGAGGTAACGTGCAACTCCCGTTTCGACATTTACCAGGAACCTACTGTGTATGATTAATTATGCTGAGCGCCCACTTTGTAAAATGCTTACAAATTTATTTTCATTCTAAACCAATACGAGGTTTTAGAAAATGAATGAAGAGCCTGTTAAATTTGATCTGGGTAATACGTACGTGCTCTTATCTAAGTGGATTTATTTTACTGTCCACCTCTACGCGCACCAATGGATCTGGATATTCCTTTATTGTATTTGTAAATTTGAAATGCAATTAACTATAAACATTTGCTAGTTAATGATTAAACTATTATTATTAGTCATTTAGATTCAATATGTGACTTAAATATTTACCATGAGAAATAAGTAGAAAAAATAAAATTAGAATTCAAATGAAAACCATTACCCTGAAAGTGCTAATTTTTCCCTTCAAAACCAATGTGCGTTTTTTAGGAAGGGGGTGAATTGATGGTTACTTTTTCTAATATGCATTGGTGGGCTACCCTCCTGACAGGTGTGAAAGGTAATTCCTGCAGCTGTCCTTAGCCCTGCTGGCTGACTCTGAGACATTAACAGACACGTTTTGTCCAGTTACCTGAACAAACAGGTCACATGTAACACAGTGGATAGGAAAAACTGAATAGCAGGGGATGTGTTTTATGACGGAAAGGCTGTATCTGCATTCAGACACACCGCGTGTCACATCAACATATGCAATTGAGGGGGGCACTTTGTGTATCTCAGGCTTGACCGCAAGATCTGTTTCATATGTCCCTAAGACTCTCTGGAAGCTCTCCCTCAAAAATTCCTCAGCGGCTGGGAAATTCACACACGCGGGAAGCCCATTCTCTGGAAGGCTTACATCTGTGCATAGGGAGAAAAAAAAACACAGAAAAGAAGTGGATAATGAATGAGAGAATTTGCAGGTGGTGGGAAAAGGAGGCTGACGGATTCCTCCGAGTAAATCAGGGCAGGGGGAGAGTACGCGGTCACTTCCTGTCCTGTAGAACATGCTTGTTCTGCCGTGTTCTGGCTGACAGACAGTCGGTGAATAACCCCGAATTGTGCTGGGAGTGAGGATTCTCACGCAAACCATCCTGTCCCGCTTTCACTGAGGCTTACCATCCGTCTATTTCAGTTTAGGCTATTTGCAAGGATAATTCATTTAAAAAAAAAAAAAACTACAGTTAATTTTCTAAGTGATTCATTTTCAGTATCCTAGAGGACGAATGTAATGAAGATGAGATTCATTTAGCGTAGTAATATAACATTGTACATTTTATAATTTCAACAAGTTTTGTGTAGCAGAATTGTTTTTGCGGGAGTTTCAGTGTCCCTGTAATACAGAAGACGGAAAGTGTGTAAATCCGACGTTAATCCAGTAGGGTAAGAAATTCAAATTTTAATGGAGAGAGTTTTAATGAATGAAGCAGAGAAAAATGAAAAACCGTAAACAGGGCAAATAAGGCTGTGTTGCCAGAAAACCCTTTACTGAAAGCCCTTCACTTGATCCATGCAGCAAGTTTATCCTGCAAGCTGGACCCCCCAGGGCTGAGCATCCCTGTCTGGGCCCCCCAGCTGTCACCCTGCCACTGGTTCCTCTGCCTCGGGGGTAGAGATTATGTCACCGCCGTTCTCCGAGTAGTACAGAGATGTTAGGCCAGCCCAAGAAGGGCGTGCGTACGTGGGAGCCTCGAATCCATGAAGCGAATTTGGTTTGTCTTTGGCACGGGCCGTGTCATTGAGGAGCTCTCTGCACCACGGCGTCCCTCAAACAGAAATGCTTCACGTTTGCCACGCGCATTTACAAAGGGAATGCAAGCGGAGGTCATGGCATTGCGGATTCCCAGGAAACAAGAGCTCATGTCAAATAAATATCGATTTTCCTATGCGTCTCTCATCGAGCCGCAGTGATGAACGGCAGCATCATTAAAGCCGTATCACGGGTAACGCATTCCCATCCCCAGAAAGGGACATAGCTCCCTCACGGGGTCGAAAAGCACCATATCCGGGACTTGAAAAAAATAATAAAAATGCGCTTTTTATGTGTTGGTGTTTCAGTTTTGCGAGCCGACCCTGGTAGGCGAGAACAGGAGCATCCTAAAAACAGCATGCCCACCCCACCACCTGAAAGGTAAGCAGGGGCCACCTTGGGCCTCTGACTTCTCACTTCTCGTGGTAAACAATTAACGTTTGGGCCAAGGAAATGTTAATCATTTGAATAACTGCCGTATTCCTAATCACGGGCGAGTTGCATATCTCTCCTTTAATGTACGCCATTTTACCGTGTCCGAAGCAAAGAGAGTGAGCTCAGCTCTGCTAATGTAACTGTGTCTGAGCTCAGTGGACAGACTGTTATACCACCCTAACCCAATGAGCCTAAACAAATTAGGTTGCCTTTAATTGCAATTTCACCTGAATATTCCTGCTGGTCTGCAGTAGCTGCATGGGGTTCTGTGATGTAACTCCGAACATTAAGAAATTACACGCTGCATTATGATGTACATGAAATAAGATACTACAGTCATACAGGCAATAATATGATAATGCACATGGACAGAGGAAGTTACAGAAACTGCGTTTTGACCGCAATTTGCCTGCCAAGTTCGATAGATGGCAGAGATTCGGACAGACGCGTTGAGGTCGATGGGGTATCTGGCTTTCCAGTTACTATCCAAAGAATTCTGGGAAAAAAAGCAGCAGGGGCGAATTGAGTCGGCGCAGTCCGGCGAAGCATCACCTGCCGTAGCCCATCACACAGGGCGCTTTCTGAATAAACCTGAAACTGCACGGCATTGCACAAGGGCTTGCCATTGCGAAACAGGAAGGAACGATTAAAAAAAGCAGAAAAAAACAAAGGAATTACAACACAGTTAAAAAGTAGGGAGAGTGAAGGGACTCTCTGACATTAAGCAAAGAGCACAAGCTGCAGTGTACAGACACCAGAGCGCGCGTATAGGTCTCCGCTCACTGCTCATTGGCTCTCTTGTCGCCATGTCAATAACCGGAGAGCCAATGACAGCATCTCTCTGTCAGTGCCACACAGGTGATTCCAGTTAACAGCATCACATCTTGCCTAATTCCAATTTGCAACGCTTTATTAATATGCTAATTTGTGAAAAGGGCAACTATTCTACAAATATTTGTAGTGTATAATGCTTGCTCATTTTTCTGAAAGCTAAGCAGTGTGATTTTCCTAAAAAAACTAATTTAAGGAAGTTCTGTTTATTGATGTATGCTTTCCCTTTCAAAGCCCTGGCCACCACAGCCCCGTTTCTGGGGGTTCAGTGTTCTGGGGTCATTCGGATTATCATGCCCCAACACCGGCGTGCTCCGTGTGTGTCTGGCCAAGTTGGGCAAGTGTCGCCGGTTTCGTTGAGTGGCAAGTGCTGAGGTCAGAGGAACTGTGTCCATCATAACAGCATTTAAAACGTCCTGTGTGTGATTTGGCAGCAGCCAGATGTTTGACCATAAACGGCTATGCCATTTCCAAAACGGACTATTTTGAAGGCAAACCATATGTTCAATAATCCACACCGCTCATGAAAAGATATTTCGGCGATCCCATGTTGTAAACAGTTTCGACCTAATTTAAGACCGAGCGACACGCGGTGGACCGAAAACTAGAAAAAAATTAAATGAGCGGGTATGGAACCTTCTAGAGACTAGATAAGACCAGAAATCAGTCCTTCTGTTTTTACAGGGCCTATCTGTTCACCAGGTATGGTGAATGCGAGTCTTTGTAGAGACAGAAGCACTGTGACAGGACAAAGGGAAAGAACACACACACACAGATGCACAGACACACACAGTCCATGTATTCATATCTTTATGGGGAATCTCCGTTCATTTCTATGGGCATAACCCTAATCCTAAGTATGACAACCTTAACCCCTACCCAGCCTTAACCCTAACTATAAGCAAACATAAGTAAGATAAGCAATAATAAGATATAAGACTTTTTACATTTTTAGTTTTTGGATTGCAGTCAAAGATTTTTATAAAATTGAGACAGTGAGAAACAGGGCTCCAGTTGCAGTCTTGCGTCAGATGCGGAGCTGCTCTTCAGTGGCGAGGATCCTGCGATGGAGGTTGCGGGGTCACAGGCGTGGAGCAGATTGCCGCGACGGCCTGATGCTCTGCATGCTACTCCCTCTGCTCCCTCCTTATCCCACGGCAGCAGCAATCCCGGGGCCTAGAGGGTGGGGGATGATTTGGCCGACAAACCCCCCCCATCCCCACCCCCCAGCTTCCTGTCATACCCCCAGGGACTCGAGGGACTGTTGGCCACAATTGACTATGACAATTAGGAGATGATCAGCACTGAGGAGAGTGGCACTTACGGCGTAATTTACATGTCAGTTTGCCGAATTAAAAGGGGGGGGCACCCAAAAAAAGATATTCAACTGCATTTTTTACCCCGCACCTTGTAAACTGTAATTTTCCGCACACGGCTGGCGGGACTTGGCGGCGAGATGGGGGGGGNGCATATTACCATTTAAAAGGAAGGTAATCAGCAGGCCGGCGGCGGCGGCCGCCATTGTGCACCGGGATCATTGATTCGCAGGCCAGCCGAGTGAAATGGAAACCTGGTGGAAAGGTGACTCCCCTCCTAGCCCTCGTTGTATGGGCAAACACAGGTTGATAGGCTAATACTGCTCATCTTTTGCCCTGAGTCACTCCATTTGTGCCCTCCCTATGTCCCCCACCCTCTGTAGCTGCTCGCTCAAACCAACCCCCCACCCCCCCACCCCCACAAGGAGCAACTAATTTTTTCACCCCTGTCAACTTCATCTCTGTGATTCCCACTCCTGTTGGCCTGCCCGTAGTTGTCAGCCCTGTGGGACAATGAGGTGGGGGGGGGGGGGCACCGTTTTCATCTGGCAAGGGGGTTACCTCCCAGCACAGACCCCTCCCACCCTGCCGCCATAAACAGACTAATCCACCTTCTGCTGTCAGCATAAACCTGGCCCTAATCTAAATCTGAGTAATGCTGGAAATGGGTGACAGGCCCCTAATCCCAGGAAATTAACGTCCATTAACCTGGGGGGAGGGGGGGTGTGTTTGTGTGTGACATTATGGGGGCTTATTATGTCTTACTGTCACTGCTAAATTTGCTTCAGGTTCAGATTATATATAATGAATATAATAAATCAATGAATCAAGCATGGATTTACAGGTAGCAAGGTGTCATTTCATGCCATGTTTTTTACAGGTGATAATACGCTACTCCTGCGGTCTCAGAGAGTGTGTTTGGGAGGGTGAAAGGAGGACCATCCTCAGCACCTGGTTCATTCCTCCAGACACAGTGTTAGTGTGAAGATCCCGGCACAGGAACCCGAAGAACCCCAAGCAACGTCAGCAGGTAGCAGTGCGCTCACAGCAGTGCGCTCACAGCAGTGCGCTCACAGCAGTGCGCTCACAGCAGTGCGCTCACAGGCCCGCGATGAAAGGGACCAGGCCACCTTGAGGCTCCTGTCAAATGACGTCATGTGAAAAAGCCGGGAAGCAAATACCACCTCCGGCTGGCGAAGGTGAACGATCAGGAAAAGAACAGCAATTCTGAGGGGGAAAACTGAAAAAACAGAAAGAGACACGACGGAACAAGGGAGGGAGGGAGGGAGGGACCAGCGTAGCTTAGAGAGGGGAGACAGGCACGCGCTGCGTCTCCCGGGTAACAAGTCAATGATGGGCAGACGAACTGCGGTCGCATTGATTAGAGCATTTTGTTGCAGCCAGTCACAATTAAGTTTGACTGTGTCATTCCTGCTGCTTAGGCAGGTTTATTTTGACAGGGAATAACAACAGCAGGAACATGATTCAGCTCCTGTTCAAATCTGCCATGTGGAGGCAAACAGGAACTCAGACGAAGGAATCGTACGGCGGCAAGGCTCAGCACGCAGACACTCATAAACAGCCGCTCAGCACACAGAGGCTGACACGCAGACATTCACACGCAGGCGCACGCAGACGTTTGTCATGCAGACACTAGCATGTAGACTCTTGGCACACACACAGATGCTAGGCACACAGAACCACACACACAGATGGTCACACGCAGACACTCGACTTGCAGACGCATACACGCGGCCGCTTGGCACGCACACAGATGCACAACATGCAGGCGCACACAGGCAGACACTCACATGCAGATGCTTGGCACGCAGACACTAGCCACACCGACGGTCAGTACACAGATGCTCACACGCAGACACTCGGCACGCAGACGCTCACACACAGATGCTCACACACACATTCACACGCAGATGCTGAGCGTGTCTGACACTGGATAAGATGCCACCTCATAATTGCACTCAAACACCCGAAACCTGCTAAACCTGCTAGCGCAAAGCTAAAGCACAAGTGGGCTGTTGAGTGGGGATTATCCACCAGGCTATATGATATCAGCTGTGGGGCCATATGATCAATAAAATAAAACGTTACCATCACTGCTTGACTCCGCCCAGAGTCAGATAAGCGGCATAGGATGAGGGCAGACCGGAACAGAGGATTCTCAGGTGCTCGCCGATGTCAGGTGACATTTACCTGCCAGTGCTCTGATGGCAAGACCCTAAAGCCTTGTGAGACACATAAACAGATGCACCCAGGCAGGCATGAGCCCCAGCAGGGTAAATCCTCTCGATGTGTGCATCCCTGCATGAGTGTTGAAAGCACACTATATCAGCCTCCATTCCCAATCCCTACACCTCAATGTTTAATTGGATCCTTCCATAAGCAGAGAGGCAGTATTTACACACTTTACACAGCCCCCCAACTGCGTCACAGAGGACTCACAGGGACTCCCCAGTGCCTCGAGTGAGGGTGACATCATGCTGTTCAGGGAAATGGCTGGAGGGTGGGGTTGAAGGGGGCGGGGTCAATGGGGCAGTTTTGTTTCTTGCATATAACAAATTCAGATCACCCTACAGTAACCAGTAGATCAGATTTGACATTTTTTCATCAATCAGGCCAGGTCAGGTTCCCAAACCAAAGGTTCCCTCGTCACATGACCCTATGCTTCTTCCTAAAGGCTCATCCAGCATCACGTGACACTCTCCTTCTTCCCATAGGCTGGGCTCCTGTGAACGAGGAGTAGTCACCTGACCACATCCACTCCTTACGCTCACAAGCATGATTTAAATTTACTGACCATAGGGGCACCCCCAGCAAAGTGAGCATGCCCCCCCCCCCCCAGGTTTATCAACAATGACACTCACGCGCAGAGACACAAACACACTAGGCGGACTAGTACTTATGGCCAGAAGACTGTGAGATTGACCCTATGGAAGGGGGGCAAAAATACTAAACTACTACAGCAAAGTAACTCAATGCAAATGTCACAAATGGAGGTATCTGTACTTCATACAGATGTATTTACAGGATAATCCAAACACAACTTTGTCTTACCTTTTATTTGAGAGAGAGAATGTTCTCTATGAATGGGGAGTCCTGTAAGGGGGTCGCACTTTGAAAAGTGATCCTACACCATGTACAGTGAGAGTCCAAGGGATCTATAAATCATCCCATTCCCTCTGCCTCCATGAAATTCCTTCCATTTTATTTCCGGTGATGTGAAGCAGAGTTCCTCATTTTAGCCGCAGCAAGAAGACAGACCCCACAGTTGACTTGCACAACACCAGGGCCCAGGATGAATCTGGAGTGTGTGATAGATGCATCAGTTAGTCTTTGGCAAGGTTGGATATACAGGTACCTAAACACCCCTCTGAGTCACCTGATCTCCTATTCACCTCCCCACCTCTTATGAACCTTTAACAAAACCGTTTCACCTCCTGATTTATTTCATTTCATCTTTTAGCTACTCGAGAGCAACAAATCAGTAATCATAGCTGACGGAAAATGTATTCATAATGAACGCCGTATTATTAAAATCAAACATTTTGAATTGCGCTTTTTTTTCGCCATCACAGTTCTTCTTAACAATGAGTAATTCATTCAATCAGCGCTGAGGACCAGGGATGGGAGAGGTTTGAGGGTCCTCGACCCACACAGCAGAGCTTAGACCATGACCAGGAACTAGCAGTGATTAACCTCATGCGTCACGGCATTAGAGCAGGGAAATGATCTGTTTTCAGAGAGCTAAACAAAAAATGCTCTTCCATTTCCCAGTGAACATAACTTAGTCACGCTGTCCTACAACTGACCTGTGTTAATCGTGATATTCTTATGTATGATTTTCATACACCTCCACCGAAGGTCAAATATTTAAATCTGTCTCATTCTTCTGTGGTTCTTGTTTGTTCTTTTGCTGTATTATTTCACAAAAATGCTTATTTCACTACCCTGCACTGGCTGAGCATTTACGGAGGAGAGTTGAATGGATTACAGCAGGATGTGTGTACTGCAAAGACGTATGTAACGTGTCTGACAGCCTTTATCAAAACCAGCAGGTCAGACACATTCAGTTCATGGTCTGGGGTTTTCTCTTGCTTACAACCATCCTCACGATCATGGTCTCCATTGCAGATCCCTCACCTCTGCTCGAGGTGTCCCAGGGTAGCCTCTGGAGTTGCAACCCTGATATTGATTAAAGACGAAGAGAATCTGTGCCTTCACCTCCCCTCCTGCTCCCTCTCCTAACAAATAGGTGCTGGGCTCCTGCAGGCCGTCACGCTAAATTTAGCTCTGATCCCATTCCGGGCTCTTCCACGCGCCCCACAGATCTCGTGGCTTATTGTCTGGGCCTCGGAAATCTGTCGCCGCCGCTCTTGAAAGAGACGTTCTGGCACACGGGCCCTTGCCGGCGTATTCCAGGGGCGAGGAGCTGCTCCTTCTGTCTTTGGGTTCCCCAGACAGCAGGATTAGCGCTCCTGCTAATGCGTTTGCCCTGGACACACTGAGTCATGCCCTCCGCATCGTCAGAGAAGCTGAAGACAAGTAGGAGAATGAGGGAGCCCCCCCACTGAGCAAAGTGGACGAGTACAGTGCTATCTGTCAGGTTTACAGTTCACAGGACCGAGGAAGATTGGCCCAAACCTTCCGGAGCGAGGCGAAAGGCAGTCCCACAACACGCGGCTTGCCTGCCCCCACGCCCCCACCTCCCCAGCATGAGGCTCACCTCCAGGACAGATCTGGAGGCACCCTGCGTAAGGGCTTCCTGTCAGGTGATAGGAGATTCCAGCACTGACCAGTCACACCTTCTGACTGACGGTAACAAAGGCCCACATTGTGCTAAGCGGCTTTTTACTCTTTGTCTGCCCCCCACCCCCGCCCCCCTACCTCCTTGTAGGAATAACTGTGGCCTTTTGTTCCTTTAACGGTCTTCTCTGGAGAGAGAAGGAAACGGGGTCAGTCAGGGTCAGTCTGGGTGGGGGGGTGCAGCCTACACAGGATGATAGCGCGGGGGACACAGCTATGTCCAACCTTGGAGACCATGTCCACGACAGGCCCCCCCTCTGGCTTTATTGAGAGCCAGATGCAGGGCCTCCGGAGAACGAACGGTAAGCTGTTGTGCTTTAAGCCTAATGGGGAAGTTCTACATGCAGGGGCCTTGACCTGATTAGTATAATTCCCTCCTTTAATGCACATCCCACGGGCTTAAGGTAAACCAAATGTTGCCATCAGAGATTACACTCCCTCGCTAGTTAACATCTACTGCTGGGAGGCATCAACCGGACCACCACGCACCTGTCTGCGCTGCGTTCAGGACACGTGTACCTGCTTACCTGTCGGGTGGCGCCGTGCCTGGGCAGCCTGCCAGCTGTGGCAGGTGGCGAAATACCCGCGCATCCTGAGCAGCCGTCGGCTTTGTCTGATCCTGGGCTCGGCGGTCTCTTCTAATCCCATTCCCGACCATCCGGGCCCCGTCGAGCCGAGACGGACCAGACGATGCGGAACTACGGATAGTGCCCGTGCTTGTAATGCCCCCGCCGGCGACTTGCTGGCCGCCACATGGTCTTGGCTTGACATCTCCATCACCTACCTGTGTGAAGACCCAGCGTATGGTTCCCTCTGCTGTGCCGTCCAATTTTACCTAGGGTGCACTTCACCAAGGTGGTGAAGATACCAGCCAAGATCACTCTGATACAGAACAGCATGCAACGAGGAGTAGTGGGTGGCTTAGTGGGTTAGACTACTGTGCCTGTGATCAGAAGGTCACTGGTTCAAATCCCAGGGTTGGCCAAAGCATTTCACCGTTGGGTCCCTGAGCAAGGCCCTTAACCCCCAGTTGCTCCAGAGACTGTCTGATGCTGCCTTATCAGGGCCACCTGTCCCTTTGGATAAAAGCTAAGTATAAAAGAAGAAATGGGGGGTGGCCACAGAGTCGGTAATTGAAAGCTTCACAGAGGCCAGCTATAGTCTCACCGTTATCCATAGATCCCCACACACCTCGTGTACTTTGCTTGAATATACCAGCTGGATTTCAAGCAGGGTAAAGGTTAATAACACTTGAGTCAGGCTGATGACCATTGTCTGGATAGCATTAATTCTGAAGACTGACTTTACTGTAAATCCCATTAACTTAGCAAAGGCTAACACTCAAGCTGAGAACCCATTAGGTCCAATTTAAGAGTCTCCCAACTAACCTGCTGTCCGCAACCAGAATCATTTTGCAGCTATTATTAAACTGTTCACTCATCAGATTGACTTTTCTCTTAGTTTTTCTGGTAATTTCTAAAGTAACAATAAACGTTAATGGCCGTTGAGCTGATTAAAAATGAGGAGTTAAAGATGCACAGCTGAATGAGTTTTCAAGAAATTATAACAGATAATGAAATTATTTAAAAATCAGTTCCTTGAAATATACTTACTAAGACCAAAATGTTCTGAGATTTGCTTTTGTGAGGATGTGAGTTCGCTTAAATGTAATCTTCTTAAATGTTAAGCCTTTGTCATCAATTCAGCCAAAGCTATGATTTTGCTCCAGTGCATTGTGGGAGATTTCACAGAGGAGAAGTGCAAGGCAGGTCATGCTTAACACATCCATGTACTGCTTTATTCTTAATTTTACTGGAGGTGCGAGCACATAGGTTAGTCTACAGGGCGTTTCTTTGGGGGTCAGGCAACTCAGAAGAATAATTTCACTTTTCGTCACCCATGGAAGTGCTATTGTAGACACTACACCATCTGATGTTGATGCTTGTTGGGTTTCTGAAGACCAAGACATGGAGTTACCGACACATTCTCTGTACCGACCTTCAGGGATTTCTCGAAAAGCATTTTTTGAGACGTGCCAGATGCAGCACATTTGGAAAAGTGTTTCGGGTTCCAGGCCACACAGAAAACCTCTAAACACTTAATGGGTCGTTATTTCAGCTTTTTCTGCTCTTTCATTTGCTGATGAATACAAATAAATGGCCCTTAATGGTGAAGAAAAAAACTTCTCTTGACTTTCCTTCCACCGTGACAGACCATGCAGAGGTAGGCGGAGGAATGGCAGGGTGACAAGCCCCTCTCAAAGCCCCAGCTGTAATGTCGCCTGTATACTTATGTTCTGTTTGACAGTCCTGCAGCTGGGCAGCCAGGCATTTCACTGCACACTGTACTGCGTATATGGTATATGTGACAAATAAAACTTTGATTAATTGATCGTCTAAGCACGTGTCTATGTGTGAGTACGTAAGTGGGGCTGCTATCTCAATCTTTGTGTGGGGATGGGTAAGTGTACACTCAGGAAAGGGGGGTGTTCTGATCTGTTAAAAATAAGGGGGGGGGGGGGTAGTCTGGATCAAGACCTGTAAGACCACTGTGGGCTCCTAATGAACTCACCACAGATCTAAACGGCGGGGGTGGGATGAGGTGGGGGGGGGGTCATCTGGCCAGCGGGATGTGGGAGCTGAAGCTGCAGGTTGGAGATAACACCAGGGGAGATCTCCACATGGTCTCCAGCAGGCGTCTGCACCATGGGAGTACTTCAAGGTACCTCCACCCCCATTTTAACCCCCAGGCAGTACATGGAATGCCGGTCAGATCTTGGTGAGGAATCATTAAGGTGACGCCTGATCTTCTCACAGGCTTCAAAGTGGGAGAATGTGAACCTTGACAGCACCCTGGGAGAACCACAGCTCAGCATACACAGTTTTCAGAGTTCCTCTCCCCAGAAAGAAGCACACATATGGTACAATAACAAAAGACTAAAAATGAAAACAAGAACAAGCATTCCCCCATCACAAAATGCTGCCCTGGACTGGATCGGCAGAGAGCTCTGTGTGAAAGCCCTTCATCTCCATACTCACACTCTACCATCCGACAAGAAGGAACCACTGAGCTATTATATAAACACACACACAGTCCTTAAAGGTTGGCCTGCTCAGTTTCAGTAACATAACATTTCTTCAAGAGTAAACATCAAGTCATCAAAATCATTGCTCAGGAAAATGCCGCTTTTGCCTGTGTTGCATTTGATTTGTCTTGCTGGATGAGAAGATTGGGGAGTTTTTTTTTCTCCACTTTGAAAGATCACAACTATAGTAACCAAAACGAAATAAAGATCAGAGCTGTGTCCCCTGTGGAGTGCTGGGCTTTCTGCCAGTCACACAGAGCGCATTAATTCAGGCATTCGCTGTTACCTGTAAAGGCCTGTCAGGTAGATTCACGGCCTGCACTGATAAGCAACCAGCAGGGACAAATGCGTGGGGAAGGTTCCGGAGCCAGCAGGCAGTCAAAGAGATGCCCCCCACCACACACACATCAGGGCCATCCAACACCACCCCCCTCCAGCAAAAGTCTATAATATCTCTCTGTGCTGTCGGCCTGCCGGGCAGGACTACCTGCTTGTAGTCAGTCACTCTCAGGCTGATAAACGCAGTGAAAAAGAACTGCACTGGGGGAAAGCCATGGCCGCCTGGATCTAGGGAAAAGGGATGCACTCTCAAACCACAGGAGTGTCCAGGGGGAGGAAGAGCAGCCATAAACAGAGCACACATTCCTCAGTGTGAGATAGGGAGGGTACCAGCTGAAGGTACGAGCAGCGGTCCTCACATCTGATGCAACAGAGCTTTTGTGGCAAGAGAGTCAGCCCCACTAAAGCCAGCTTCCTAACGTGTGGCGTGTAACCAGGGAAAATGCTCCTTTACACTTATTCGTCCGGCATAAATCTTCACGTGTCCAATTTAATGATCCATTTCTTTGCATGAAAAGCCTGCTTGTCCACCTAGTATATTCGGTGGCCAGTATGGCATCCCATAATAGTTTGTATAAAAGGAAAAGGATATTTTGTTTCAGGTTAGAATCTGAACATGTTCCCTTGTCATCTGAACATCATCAGTCATCTAAATTGTCATCATGTTTAGTGTAACCATGATGACATGCTCCCGTAACACATCCCGTTAGTCTTCAATGAGACACGTCCACGTTCCTGATTTTCCGTGACCGAAGAAGGTCCTGATCTCCTCGGCGAAAATGATCGCATCTGGGACATAAGCGCCACAGATAACATTGGATTGAACGAAGAACAGCCCTCCTGCTTAGTAATGTTATTTTGTGCTTTGTGTTTGTCAAAGGCTTGTTCCACTAGTAAATCATCATCTTCTGTGATGCACGTTAACCTCACCTTGTAGGTTACATGTGAATCACTTCTCTAACGTTCTGTGAGGATCTCGGACACCTCCCTCCTTTCCTTATCTGCAAACAGGTCCCTTCACAGTTCATTAATAATACAGCTGGACATCTCATATGTGGGGGGAGGAGGGGGGGTGATAAGTAAAAGTCGGAGTGAACAGTCGGATGCCCCCTCCCTTGTGCTGTGCTGCATTTCCAAGTTATCATTGTACAATGGTGGGGTCCCGTCCCCCCTCAGACATCTCGAAGCTCAGCCTCACCTTGGCAGGGCGAGCAGACTAATTGAGGGATGTTATTCTCCCTCTTCAAGAATCAAAGGAAAGTGAGATGAAGCCAACTGAAACAATCCTGCTATTGTAAGCTAATGTTCCTCAGCCGCATGTTCACTAAGGAGCATCACACCCAGGAGGCCCGCAATGGGCTGGAGTCCCATCCAGGGTGTACAATGCCTGGCATAGCACGCTTCCTAGAATTGGCTCTGGAACACCACAGCGATTATGGATAACTAGATACTGGAAATGGATGGATGTCAACCTCAGAGTAGAGGTGCGTACCCATCTAGCACAAAATCAGTCAGTTGTACAAATTGGTCAGTTAAACCCAAGGCTCCTTGCAGCTCATGTTAGCTGATAAGTGGTTTCGGCTAGCTGGTTCAGACCCCTTTCTTGCGGTCCACCTACACACTCTCTCCTTGTGAGACACACGTTCTCATTTACTGCCTGAGTTACCCCTTGGCGATGCGGCCTGGAATCTCCGCCCGCCGGAGCGGAGGGGACCTCGCTTATTTTCAGGGCCGTGGATAGAGTCCCTGCTCTGAGTCACCGTAATTGAAAACATCGGTTCCCGACATGTACGAGGCAGCAGTAAAGGGTCTCCCCTGAGCTGCGTTAACTGCAGTCTCTCACATCCACCATCTATGGCATCACTCTGCCTTACTGAGGAGGGGTGCATGAAAGCAGGTGTGGGGAGCACCCCGCCATTAGACAGACCCCTCTGCCACTGAAAGCACGTGTCTCTCAGGGCTCCATTACTTCCATCTGCATGCAGGTCAGGTGACCAAGGTTCCAATCCTCAATGAGGGACTTTACAATGCTTACTGCAGCCGGGTATTGCAGCACAGTTGACTTAATGAGCAATTTAAGATTGGACCTGTCAGTAAAACACAGGATGATGCGTAGTTGGCAGCCAATCAGGACAGCCGATTTACAAATATTCAGCATTGATTTAGCTTATATGATAGCTGTTATTTACAGGTGTCACAGAATGCAGGTACCTGTGAGCTGCTATCGCTGCATCATAAGAACATGTTTGCTCTTGACAGTGCTGAAACTCCACTCCTCCAACCACTAGGCCATCTGCTCTGTCTGTTTCCATAACTGATGACATTTCTTCCCTGTTGTTCTTCTTCTTGGGCTGTGAATCTACTGGCTCCACTTTGTGACAAATGAAGAAACAGCAAAGAGCCTGACGCTACCTGACATAGCTGCACTTTTCCACATCTCTGTAATCGACTCTCTTCTTACAGCATAACCGCTTCCTACGCAGGCCTGGCCGCCTCTAACCACACCAAGCTGCAGGGCTGAGCCACGGCATGATTTTCCAGCCCGGGCCGCCATAGCGGCCGTTGCCGTAAGACATCACTGAGCCAATAAAGCTGATGTTTTTCAGCACTTTGGCCCGTCATGGTACCGTGGGTCTGGCTGACCAAACAGCCAGGGGAAGGTTTCAAGAAAATTGTCTTTGCGGCTGGGTGGTGCCCAGCAAAGGAGCCACTACTGCCAGCTACCCTGAAGGATTGCAGAAAAGAAAGAGAGTGAGAGCCAGTGAGAGGAAAGGAGAGAGAGAAAGAGAGGGAGAGAGAAGGATTTCTTCATTCGTTGGCAACAGGCTATATTTTTGAGAATCGTATGGCAGACCTGTTTCATGTGAACTGTGACTCTTGAATTTTAAGCCTCTCATGGTGAGGCATGAATATAAAAGCCATTCCTTTGGCTCGTGCAAAGGCATGAAAAACTCCCCAAACTCACAAAGCAGTTTACAGGTACGAATGCGTGATGCTTTTCTGCTGTGATCCCAGACAGGGAGTAAACATGTTACACTCGTACATGTTTTACTTTCTAGGGACAGGCTGACAGTGGCACCAAGATAAGAGTCTCACTTGTACCACTATTACATTATTAATCCATTATGTTGTATTACTGCTTGTCCAACAGTCTTACTTATCGACAAACCGATTTTAGTTCCCATTTTCATCACTCAATACAGCCCGCCTTTTTACTTCCTGTTTTCTTTTCTCTGTAAATGCATCGCAGCTCTGTGACCCAGGAAGTGACCCTTTCACACTCGCGCTACAAAGCCCATCTCTCTTTTTAGACTTCACATGTTGGGGTCACATGACACCCCGGCCCATCCAAAGTGTGGCCCTTCTGTAGGATGAAGCCAGCTCCATTCCAGCTCCTTGGCTGAGGAGTGAGAAGCACCCTCACCAGCCGTAGAAAATGTATTTATAACCACTACAGATTTTTTTAATCCTTTGCCAATTCCTAAAACAACATTAAGTTGCTTTTCTATGCTTAAACAAAAATTGGCCCAGGCCCCCGCTCTCCTTTGAAGGGAAATCATTGCCTTATGAGATTTTCTTTCTTTGCCATTGTTTCTGGGCTCACAGACTCCATGGTATCCATCCTCTGCCATGTCTCTTAACTGTGTGATAAGCGCGGGTTCTACGCTTCCCCCGTGTCAAATCACGTCATGGTTTCAATTAAACAGAGAAGGAGACATAAGCCTTGCATTTTCTGATGCGTAAATCGGCAGGGGGTCTCTCTTGAGGATATGAATATGGACTATATCACTCCAGGGTGTTAAAACATAAGCTAGGCTCCCTGGTTGGCCGGTCCCCTTGCCTTCCTGTCGAGCCACGTCCTTGTGTAAGATGAAAAAGGACTGATTTTGGGGCTCAACTCAGTAAAACACTATTCTGACTGTTACTGCAAGGAAAGGTGCAGAGTATGGTGCGATAGAGTATGACGTGACTGAG